AAAGTTATCAGTTTTTTAGATACATAGTTTTAGAATCATTAAAATATATTTCTGTGTTGCTTTGTTGTGTTTTTACTGTAAATAATATAATTATAAGGTAGCCTGCTTTTCAGTTTTGTTGCTAACACTCAATAAGAATGTTCCGATTTTAAGAATTTATTACTTACAAAAATACAGTATCTGTAAAATTCACATTTTTTCCCGTACAGTTTAACGCGACTAACGCTTCTAGGATATTTTTGAATTATCCAAAATATTTGCTGTAATCAGTCAATTAAGTTATAATTTACAAACAATCTTGCATCCATTTCATTTGCCATATTGAAAGCGGCCTCTCTGGGGATGGGATGTACCATGTGATATCGCTTGACTACTTTTTTTACTTGCTGGATGGCTGTGCTTAGCACAGAGGCAGGTTCAATTCGAAAATTGGCAGGATCGAATTTTTATTATTATTTTTTTTACAAAAGTTGGTGTTTACAGGAATGTGCCTGGTAACGTTAAATAGGGAGTCTTTTTCATTAAGTTGCTATATGTTTGCAACCTTGCTGTCTGGTTGAATTTTTAATGACAGGTTTTATATCAGCATTTCTGTACGTGCAAAATACCAGTTAGAGTGTATGCATGTTACAATGTAATATTTAAAGGGTTTTATTCACAAATTATGAACGCATGTCTCATTACAAGGAAAAGTAATATTGTCATCCTTGTATATTGGAAAAGTTGTCGTTTTCAAGATAAATAGTATATATGTTTGTATTGAAAATCATGAAAAAAAAAAAAAAAGATAAGAAAATGTCATGTTTGCCAGTTTTTCATATTTGTTGGAATTAATATTGTCAAGTTAAAACAGTTTTAGATATCTTTACGACAGGTTTAATATCAGCATTTCTGCATGTGAAAATTATTAGTATGTATGCATTTAACATTATAGGCATTTGCATAATAGAGGATTTTACTCCCTGCTTTCATATAGGAATGCATTAATTATTAATAATACAACATTTACTAGTAAACTAGAACAAGTTACAGCATAAAAAGCAATATCGGGGGGAAATGTTTTATCTCACTTTTATTTATATAAACAAATGTACAACTTTTAATTAAATAATCTGAATACAATATCTAGCCTTTTGAATTTTACTTCATCAATTGCAAATCCTTCTTTCAAAATGACTCACATGGAATGTACTTGAAAACGCAACTAAACTCATAAAAATATATAATCTGACCAACAAAGTATCACATTTTCTAAATGCTGAGACAATTAAACTGCTCACCTTCCCAGATTTTTTGTAAGTTTCGGTCCTCTACTGACAAATCTTTTAATGGTTGATGTATTTCCGCATTAATGCTACTGCTTTTGTAACAATATGTTCTCTGCCTTACTGGCACTTTGCTTTTGTTTCTAGTATTAATACATACCTAAAATTAAATTATTCCTTATATACTTTTAAATTTTGAGACGATGTTTTTTGATGAATGGAGGGTAGATTTTCTAGCAAAAATAACAACAGAAAAGATTAAGGAGATCAGTTGCCAAAAAGTGTTAAAATACATTAGGTTTCAAGCAATTCTGCAGCATGTAATCAATGATAATCAATTCACATCTGACATTCATTTAAAAAATTAAATTAAACAGACTGAAAGCTTAATTTCTGTTATCAAAAGTGAGAAATTTATACCTACTGCTCTTGACAGGTTTTTAAATGAAAACAAATACAATAAAACATTAACTTAAGTTTGTAAATGACCATCACTGTTTTTTTTCGCTTAAAGGAAATTGCACCAATCATTTAATAATAAGAAAAAGCAAAATATCCTATTGAACAACTGAAATGTTACTTTTGTAACTGACTATAACAACATTATTTGTTGTGAACAAAAACTTGGATGTTTATAATTACGGATTTAAATTAAGATATTATGATTACATATGTTGATATTTGTTGCAATATTTAATTATTCACTTTTCATGTAAACAAACAGCCGTAGTAGAAGTGGCATAGACGGTCAACATAGCGAACATTAAAAGCTGCATAAATGATTTTTCCATTATTATAAAGCTTTCTTGTCTAATATAACCAAAATTATTAAAATTCTCTGTTAATGGGGTTGAATTACTATTGTACTAGATATACTAGTTTGATACAATCAGATATCATTAATTTCTTCATCACTGTACTGTTTAACCACTGGCAATATAAATTATGCAACTGAGAGTCAAGCCCAGTGAACCAAAATTACCTATCTATCATCAACTGGGATTATGACTTAAATATCCTCACAGCTCTCACAACATACTGTCTACATATGGGGCACTCTGACATCCGTTTGCCACAGTTAGTACAAGTCACTGAATGTCCACACTCCAGTAACACACAGTCCACTGTATGGTCCATGCAAATCTTGCACAGTGAGTCTTCAGGATTGCTTTCCATCCTAGTAGCGCTGGGTTTGTTGCCTGGAAGAAAAGATGTTCAATACCAATGCATTTCCAAGTTCCAAACTGGGCAAAAACCATTTTTTTTTAAATCTGGGGAATAAAGAATATTTACCTACACATCTAAACATCACATATTTTAATGGCTATAAGCCATAAAATATTAATGTTGTGCTTTTTTTAACTTTCAACATAAATCTTGTCAAAATGTCTTTTATTTCTTACTTGTATATAGAAAATTTCAAATTAATGCAAGTCTATACTGATTTCAAAAGGATCTCATGTACTTCTAAATGCATAAATTTGTACCTTGTTTCTCAGCCAGGTTGTGTATTTCTTCAGCTATTGAAAAATGAAACAAAATATTGAAGAAATCAAAATAAAAACATAAATATTAAAATCAATCCAAGTTTGAAAAATTTCAGTGCTTAATGGGATAAAACCTAGTGCACTAATGGAGTAAATGTGAAAACTGATAAGACAGTAACACAGGACTAGATTTGTGAACTCTCTCCTTTTCACTAGTCTTCTGCAGAGAAAGAATTACTGACCTATGATCTCCACAAGTGTTGTCATATAAAAATACAGTGTGCATCAACTTAGGTACAAGAAAATCCTTACCTTTTCGTTGATTTTCTCTATATAATAAGACAATGAAAATACTTACCTTTTTTCTGATTTTCTTTATGTGACTGCCAAAGCCTCTTGGCCTTGTCCACCAACTCCCACTTCTCCACACAACCTTTATAATCCACAAAGTTGGCTGCCAGTAGTTCCTTGAGTTGCCGTGGAGACAAGGTGTCAATCTGCTCAATGTCATCTATGGCACTAAGTCTCATCCTTACACGTGGAGCTCTAGGGTCTGGTTCCTCCTGAATGAATGAATCAAAATGTAAATTGATCTACAAGTAATATTGTAACTAAAACAAACAGCACTGATCTACCACAAATGTATTTTTTTTAGGTTGTCATGCTTAAAAAAATTCATAATAAAATAATTTATTGTTATATACATAACAGTAGTAGTAATAAAATGCAGATTTCATGGTATAAGTCAATTTCAGATAATTACAAACTAATATTGTTGGAGGCAGTGTATGAGAGAAACTCAGTGACCTCATTATGTGCATTTTTCTTACGTCACTGTCCATGAACCAATCATTCCCAATTCTCTCTTCAAGATTTCTTCTTTCTTGCTCCTGCCTCCTCCTCAGTCTCTCATTTCTCTCCTCATCCGACTCCTGGTGGTTCAATTGTGTTGGAGGAGATTGCTCAGAATGTGTTGGTTGAGCTGGGGTTGGTTCTGGTGGTGGTACTGTGGAATGTGTGTCACTGTGCTCAATGCGTTCACTGCTGCTCTCATCAGATGATGGCACAGACTCCCTGTCATCTTGTACTTCATTTTGTAGTCTATGTTCCTGGCCACAACAAAATTAACAAATCTATAAATAAATTATTAAATAAAGAACAAAAAAAAATGAAAATAAAAAAATAAAAATAAAAAAACAGCTGCCCCTCACCCATGACAATCTCAATCTGCCAGTGTAAATAATGCAACAATTCAAACCTGGGATTGCATGCAGAAATAGGCAGTGTATTAGGAGATAAATCTTATTCAATTTCATGCAAAGACGTCTGCTTTTACAAACCTAAACACTTACTTTTAACACTTCTAAATGTCTTCGGTGTTCCTCTTGTTCCTCCAAGTATGACTGGTTGCCAGAGTGCCTCAGTATAAGCTCCACTAAATCATTCTTCTCCGTGCATCTTTGGTATTGTATCACATGTTTGTTAAGGTACACTTTTAAGTCTTTCAGTCTGAGATCCATCAGTGTCTGTCTGTCAAACTGCTTGGAGGCAAACATCTGACAAAGTTGACATCTACGCTTGTTAAAAGTTACTCTAGTGAGACATGCTGAGCAGTGGTAGTTACCGCAGTCTAGGCAAATTCTCTGAAATAGTAAAACTGAAATTTCTAAACAGCTCAGAGTTTCTTTTTTTTTTGTGTAGATTGTTCAAATATGAATAATCTGAAGATAAAACACATCTATAGCGTATATAACCAATATGCCCTTGCAGGAGCCACTTCCTAATTCCCCTATTTTACACAGACCAGGAATCCCACGAATTGCCAGGAATTGACAAATTTCAGGATTTGTAAGGATTCGTGAGATTTTGCAAATTTTCTGGCCTAATTCGATACGCTCTACGATTCAGTTACGATACAGGTGCGATAGTGTTATGAATATTTGTGGGATTCAGCTGGAATCGCACGAATATTGTCAAAAAAAGCACTACGATTTTTTGGAATCGTGACTTCGTGGCCAAAATTTTGAACTGCTCAAAATTTTTGCCACGAATTCCCGATTGATCAAGAATTGCAAGAACTGACTGCAATTATATACGAATCTGTTAAGAACTTCACGAACTGATTACGATTCAACCACGAATCCTGAAATTTGTCAATTCCTGGTGATTCGTGGGATGCGTTGTCTGTGTGAAATAGGGGCATAAAAGAACTTTAGTCCAGTCTGAATGTTAAGACCAAAACTGTAGTTCTTTTTCACTATCTAATGCTAACTCAGTGGTATTAAACCAAATGAGATACCATGCCTGTTTTATAACAAGAAAGAAGTGGTTTTTGGATCAATGATTTTATTCTATTTAGTGAACTACTGTACATTGTTAAAACCAGCTAGGCCAGGCATATATTTCTCCACTCAGCCCTCTACCATTTCCAGTGAGTGGCCTCTCAAACTCAAGGTGGGCGTACATGTGTATCAACATGCTTCAATTAAATAAATTTAGTAGATTCATCCGAATGATGTCACAAATTTCAGTGTAAGATCTGAAAATCTCTATCAACAAATTTCAATATATCTGGCTTACCTTTCTCTTCAGAAGACCAAACACAGCACCACATTTTTCACATGACATTATTGCAAGCTGGCTACTGCTGTCAACCTTATTTTGACCTTGACTCTGAGGTTGGCCTTGTGCTCCCCTCACTGCACCCGCCCCCATTAGAGGCTTTTTCTTAATCCTGTTTTGTGATGTATGTATGTACCCTAGTTAGGTTGAAAACAGATTTCAACTGCCTGAAATACAACGCATTAAACCAATTAAGATCATTAAAAATGAAAGTAGAGGAGCTAAAAAGGGACATAATGTGTAACTGAATAAATATTTTACATGAGACAGGATAGAAAAAAAATGAAACTTGTGAATATTTCACTTGTTGCCTACCCAAACTAGAATGGTTGATTTTAAAGGCAAATACAAATCAATATATTTTGCATTTAAAATTCTAAAGTTGAAAAATTGCAATTCCATTTCTACTACTACTGCTATAACTTCTACTTGTATCAGAATAATTTCAGTGGCAAATAAGAGTTGTACAAAAGTACTATAGGTTAATGCAACCAATTTTCTTTTGAGCACAGTTTTGACTTTATGGCTTGTAACTTTAAAATGCATCAATAGACCTTTTTGGTATGCCAGGTGTCGCTTTTTAGTGACAACTTTTCCCATTTGGGGCCCTACCCGACAGGGCAGCAGGCAAGCTAGTCATAACATTTAGAGATGAGAAGTGAAGAGAAAGAACATGATCTAATGAAATAAATGGTGCAAGAACTAAAAACAATTCTGAAAAATATGGGAAAAATGTAAGTGGGAAAAAAGAACAGCTGATTGCAAGAATTAATACCATACGTGACCAAGAACTGCAAACTTCACATGATTGAATTACTGATGAAAAGTTGACAGACTTTCAGTGGAGTGCTGATTTGGGAGATGTTCCACCAGTGACAGAGGACACTGTTACTGGTTATTTTTTAATACTCTGGACTGCGGTAAGAAAAACAACAATTTCCACTTAATTAACGGGGGCAGATTGAGCCCATCTTCTGGGTCTTCAGGAAGATGGTCATTTATTCAAGTTTACACTGACGGGTATCTATTTTTTTCTGTCGGAAGATGGTCAAAAATGGAGAACGGAAAAACAAAGATATTTTGGAAGACTTGTCAGAAAATAGCTCTGGATCCACCCCTGATTAAAGCCAATAGCATTTTGCTGTCAGGTCATGTAAGTGACTTGATGGCTAGGAAAGGGACTGTAGGCACCATGATTGTATGCTTGGGAAAAGTAAAAGCTACCATGAAGGAAAAACATGGTATCTTGTGATCACGGTCTGTGCCCTGGATACCCTGCGGCGTATTTACTGGCAGCGCGAGCGAGTTACTTCCAAAGCTGTAATTAATTCTTGGGTGCGCTCGGAGGAGATTCTAATACCTTGACGCATCGCTTGCCATCGGATCATGACGGTTGCATTCATATCTGTGTGTGTATAGCTTCTTCATCTTCTTCATCTTGTTGTTGCACAAAATTGACAAACACATTTTTCAAAGCAACCGCGACTACCATTTACTTTCTAACTTCCTTCTGCTCATGCATCAAGGTATCAGAATCTCCTCCAAGCCCAGCCGAGAATTAATTACAGCTTTGGAAGTAACTTGCTTGCGCTGCCAGTAATTATGCCGCGGGTATCCAGGGCATAGACCGTGATCACAAGATACCGAAAATAGATTTTCAGATTTTTAGAAAATAAATTTTCCATGTGAATGGAGCCTTTGATCAGTGGCTTTGCTATTCAAATATATGCTCACCATGAAATGCTCTCATTACATATGTTATCTGGATGGGTTTGAACCTTGTAAAAACATGAAAAAATATATTGCATAATTGCCAATATCTTTCATGCATAAACACATCTTAGATATATAAAAAACACAAATCAAATGCTACATGTATACTGCAATCTCGACGACTAGAATCTGAATAGGTTAATGTCGCTGGGCCTGTTCGGCGTAGACGCGACGACGGTTAGTGTTAGTTACACAAGACAACATTACGAATAAATATAGAGCCAGAAAACAATAGAAAATTAATGTAAAATAATTCAGTTCACATCTTGAATGGACGAAGTTGCAATTATCTTTAACGTGAACTTTTATATCGGTTGTTTATTTCATTATTCTTATACCCACCAATATTCACAATGTGCAAACCGCTGCACAGGCAAAATCAGCACCGGAAGCGACCAGAAAACGTCGCTTCAACATCACCAATAAATGATAAATGAACCAAAACTGAAAATAATAATAAGTTTTTTGCATGCCTTCATTCCGATCAGATGTTTTCCTCAATATTCATTCATGAGAGAGGATAAAAAGAGAAAAAAATAGAATATATTTACTAATGATACGAGCGATGGGCACGTGACTTTTATATAGTAACTGGATCCCACAGTCAGGATATGTCCACCTGTCCAACATAATGGTGGTTATGTGTCACGTCAAGTAAAAAAAAATGTCGTATCAGTTGAGAGAACAATAAATATAATAAACAATTCTTTCAATGGCAGACTGTACATAAATTCACATTTGGTATCCACTTCAAATACACTGACTTAACAGAATGGAGAAAACTATACTTACAGATATACAATTTTGTAAATGAGCAAAAATGTAGTTGGCTACCATTATGTGTATATAGTTTGCTACTATGATAGACCCTATATCATTATGCAGAATTTGGTGCTGCTACCATTAATGAATATAGGAATGTATATAGGCATGATGTAATATTATATGTACAAGTAATTAACTAGAAATTGTATAAAACATTGATTCCAAATGCAAAATTGGTTTTTACAGAGATTTTTGAGAGGAAGAAAATTGCTTTTATTTCAGGAGAAAATTAGATTTGTCGAGAAAAATCCCAGGTAGGAAAGTTTCAAAACAATACACATATGATATGATATGGGTGCAAAACGGGAGAACACATATACTGGGGAGTATTAATTAGTTTTGAAAGAGAAACTGGCATTAGTTATCTATTGCGTACGGATTGTCACTGCAAGAATGGTTTATGCAATACTTCAGCTATTTGTAGTGAAACAGGGGCGTCTCGATAGTCCGAAGGTTCATTGGTCCGAAGGTTCATTGGTCCGAAAAGTGGTAACATTTTCATCGATTTTTTAATCAAGGTTCATTGGTCCGAAGGTTCTATAGTGTACATTTGGACCGATGAACCTTCGGACTATTGAACCTTCGGACTATCACTACGGCCCCGTTGATGTACGTCTTTGACCTAAGATAAAATATGGACATGGTACGTGGCCTGACATGGTACGATTTCAGGCTGTGGCCTGGCATGGCACGGTATCAAGCTCCAGCCGGCGGTCTCTCCAGTCAACTACGAGGGGATTCCCCATAATAATAGGCTTATTGAAACCAATTTGTAACGCACTTCCTTCCCATGATTCGGAGAACTAAACGGAAGCGAAAGCATAATGTTCTTTTTACTGCTGTCATTATTCATTCCATGAGTATTCAACACTGACATTTACCATAACCGATTGATGGTTGTTTAAATGGCGGGTAATATAAAATTTTCTCAGTTTTATTTTAATGTAGTACGTGGCCTTACGTTATATGAAGTTTTAGTAAGGCGAACTTTCGTTTTCCATGTTTCGTGATAAAATTATTTCAAGTTAAAAACAACCATAACAACTATTGCATCTTTGTAATAAAATATACATTATTGTTTACCTTAAAACTTTGAATTAATTTGTAAAGAATAGCATACCTGTACATACAGGATCCACGCGTTTATTTTCTTTTCTTTTTGAATTTTTTAAATTATGCTCCTGAGACTTGATTTACATTTGGTACATTGTAAATAAGAAAGAAATATGTGACATATCTGAGCATGGATATACCGTCTGAAATCTGAGTTTAACTTATCTAATTTAGATATTTTTCTTCTTTTGATGACTTCATCTTTGGCATTTTTAAGACCTCGTTAGAAAAGAGGCTCAAAATCCCCATCTTGATAATGTACAGGTATGTAAATTCACAGGCATTTGAAGATTGTTGGCTTTATCAACAGTCTGCCACACTTAAGCCTTTGGTGCTACAGGCTACATGTATGTACATGCACTGTGTATGCCTGCAACCAGTAAAATTTTATTAGGACCAGTACATTTTTCAGAATGTGTGAATTTATCGGTCTGACATGGTTACATATGACTATACGTCCCCGCACCGATACTCCCCCGCACCGGTACATCCCCACACCAATACTTCCCCGCACCGATACTCCCCCACAATTACAGATATACTGAGGGGAAGTATCGGTGCGGGGAAGTATCAGTGCGGGGGAGTATCCGTGTGGGACGGGGTATGGGGTCGTATCGATGCGCATAATACAAAAAAATTACGAAGGGGGATTATCGGTGCGGGGGAGTATCGGTGCGGGGGAGTATCGGTGCGGGGGGGGGGGGGGGGGGGGGGTTACAGTGCAGGGGAGTATCGACATGACCCCTCTGACATGGCCATTAGATTTTCTCTTTATATAAGGTTTCAAAAGAGCTTCCAGTTTTTAGTTAATTTTATTTTCTGAAATGTAACTGTAACTGTTAGATATGATGATTCTACATGAAAAGATGAAAAATCAAGGGCTTGTTATGTTGAGTATTAATGCAAGGAAAATGTCCAGTCTTTCTGAAATTTTTATTTAGACCAGTGAATTCTGATTTGGACCAGTAGATTCTAGGAAACTATAGTATATTCATCTGAATACAAAAGTTTTTGTCACAGGCTGTATCAAGAAAAGTAATATGCATGTGAAATATTTTCTTTTTTTTTTTATTTATCAATAGACCTTAATTTAAAGTCTATAAGGCAATTGTAACAAGTAATTGGTATTATTACAGCTAGAGTTAATCTGATGCTTATAGGCAAAGTTCCAGAATTTTGGTCAGGGAATATGAGAAAATATATCTTTACTATTGCTACATTTATTAATGGAACTTAAAATTTGGTACTTCAGATGATTGAGGAAAGTTTAATATCATGGTTGAATAATTACCATTTTGAAATACTGTAGTACCCTGAAACATTGTTCTCCCTGGTGTGCATCTCTCCTTGACTTTACAAACTACTTAATATACATGTAATCATACAGTTAAACTAGTTAACAGTAAGTACCTGATATCATATCTTTATCAATACTTACATACATGACATACTTATAATGGTGAATTGAGTAAACCTTGATCATTGTTTATTAACAGGGAAATGTGTAAATTTTTGCAACTTTTGCACAATCCTTTAATATTGCTGCCTTTTTATCTGTCCTTTCCACTGTTTAAGATGTAAATATAAGATTACAATTTTTATTGGGATCTTCTCACTTGTGAGCAGTAAGAAGAACTATGTCAGCTGTATCTAGTTCAAATAAAGTAGATTTTAAAATTTAACAAATGACAAAAAGAAGGCTCGAATTCAATGATACAACACTTTGATGGCTTTGTGTGAAAAGTACATTGCTTAGTTCTTTATTTTTGTATGATATATATGCATTATTTCAGGCTTTTTCTTTAGCTGGAAAGATGTGAAAGACATTGGCAACCAAGCCTTGGGCCATGGTGACTATGAACTAGCCACGGAACACTATAACCATGCCATTTTTCTGGCAGAGAGTTGCGGTGCAGGTTTGAGAGAAATTTCAGCATTGTATAGCAACAGGTCCTTTTCCCTTTCAAAGCTGGGACACATCCAACAAGCTCTTCAGGATGCTTTCCACTGTATTGACTTAAATCGGAAGTGGTGTAAGGTAAATTTCCCCATATGTAAGTACTTTTTTTGGAAACATGACGCATAACATTTTCATTTGTGGATCAGGAAAATTATTTATATTGACTGACGAGCTTCCTTGCTGTGACCCTTAAGTTGATTTAAATCAGATTGAAAATGTGTTTTAAAGATCCCAACAAATATTATATAGGATTAAACAGTGGTAAATGATTGCTTTATTTCAATGCAATTTGTATGTATTTAATATATTTACACTAAAAATATTTATGAAGGGATACTGGCGAGCGGGACAGGCTTTGAAACTTTTGAAAAAGTCCCAGGAAGCTCTTCAGGCATTCAGTGATGGCTGTGCACTGGTGAATGAAGATGATGGCAAAAACTTTCATACTAAAGTTGACTTCATTGTGGAAATAGTATCCTTGTCTCATGAAATTGGAAGTAAGTAGAAAATTAATGCCTTACCAAATCACTGCTAAATGTTGTACTAAATGTGCAAACTGATTTAATATATGTTTGCATCAAATTTGTCTTGTGAAATTAATGTGCATGCCTTACAAAAAATATTAAGTGTGATGATAAAATCATAATTAAATCACTGGTTTTACCAAATTGCTTTGCTCAAAGCAAATTTTGATTTTTTTAAACATTATTATTTTGCAATTATTGTATTTTTCATGTAAGCCAGATACTAGGATCTCCTCATGCAAAAGAAAAAGAAGACTTAGATCCTGTTCCCATACCTAGATCAATCTAGCAGGATCGATTCATCTTCAAGGTTTTTTTTCCCCTAAACTGGATTCAGTAGCTCTGATGTCTGGGATGCCAACTTTTAGGGGGTAATTAACCATCGTTTTGCAGCTTCAGTAGGTGTGCCAGACATATAAGCCACTAAGCTGAATGCAATTTAGCAAGAATCCCCTCAGAGATGGGTTGATCCTGGTAGAGCGATGTAGGTGTGGGAACAGGGTCTTATATTATAAATACAATATAATACATTGTTTTACTAGAAATTTATCATTCAAATTTCAAATGACTTTAGAAATATTATGAAAATAATCTACTGGTAATGCATTGAAAATTTAAAGATTTTGTTCATGATTTAATTCAGGCTGGATATACCTTGCAACACATGTTAGAGCTCGTGATAATGTGTGGTCGCAGGTGCTGTTACGTATGGCAAAAGAGAAAAAATGGGAAACACTCTTAATCCTGCTAATGGGAACTGGAGTCTTCAGAAAGGAATCTGTCATGTTTAATTACCAAGGAAAGTTCCCCAAAATAAGCACTCAAAAGATCTGTCTTACCAACTTAATCAAGGTTTGTATGGTTTGATAATGATACAATCATTGATTTTATTTATACCCATTTGCTTTTTATGAACAGACACAGATGTGTCTGTACATATAGCTGTCACCTGCATCTACATGTATCATTGCCATTGCTGCCGCTGCCGTGCACTTTCACCGATAACACAATAAGTGGAAAAACATTTTACCTTTTGGCGTGAAACTTACAGAACTGTTGAATATTCATAAAACCCAGGTCAAGTTAGAAAATCAGCATGATCAGGCCATTTTTATGGAAGTTATGCTGTTTTTTTTCACTTTTTCAGCATATATACAACACTGATAACACTTTAAGTGAAAAAACATTTTACCTTTTGGATTGAAACTTACAGAAATGATGAATATTCATAATATGCAAGACAAGTTCTAAAATCGGCATTATCAGGATATTTTTAGAAAAGTTATGCTGTTTTTTCACTTTTCAGCATATATGCAACACTGATAACACGATAAGTGGAAAACCATTTTACCTTTTGGCTTGAAACTTACAGAACTGATGAATATTCATAATACGCACGCATGATTGTGCCATTTTTATAACAGTTATGCGGTTTTTTTCACTTTTCTGCCTTTTTGCCACACTGATAACACATTTCAAGGAAAAGTGATGGGCCAATTGTCTTGAAACTCATAGGAGTGATCAATCTTACTGAAATACAGATCAAATTCTAAAATAAGCTTGATAGGTTAAGTTTTGGTGAAGTTATGCTTTTTTTGTATAAAAGTGTTTTTTTCCTCAGATTTAATTCTTGGGCATGTTAATTTCATTTTTGAACTAATTAGATATGTAAAAGTGTTCTTTTGACATTTTCTGCATCTAACAATATTGTTAGTTGATTATATAAAAATGATGGTAAACCTGTTATTATGTATTGTGTAATAAAGTGTCGAAAATGGAAATAAACTCATATCATTGCAGTTTGTCAGATTCAGTTATTCACTAGAATCTCTGAATGGAGCAAATCGCACATTTAAAATTGTTCTATTGATATATTTCCTATGTCAATAATTCCTTAGTAGATCATTTAAAAATGAAAGTACATTGATTATTATTTTGTTTTATGTAAAGAGGGTGTTGAAAATGGAAATAAACTTATTTCATCACAGTTATCTCTTGTTTACATTTTTCGCATTTTCAGTGTGACTCTGAACTTCCATGGGCTTGAAGACTTTTGCTGGTCACATTTTCTGAATATCCCTGATACTTTTATTTTATTTTTTAGAAATTGATGGTCATTATGCTGTTATTGTTAAGCATTATGTAATATTGCATAAAAAATGAAGAAAATCCTTTTTTGGGCAGTGCCCCCATAGTGACCATTAGGGGAAAACCATGTCACTTACTCTTCTCAAATTTACAGAAAGATAACATAGGACTAAAATACAGCTTCAGTTGAAAAACCTGTCTTATTGGTTAACTTTTCTAGAAATATAGTTTTTTGTAAAAGTTAAAATGTGAATTATTATTATATGCTTTTTTTGTCTGTACATTAAACAGCTTTGATGCCTTGTTTTTCATTTCATATTATTCAAACTTTTCAATTACTTTCTTTTGTAACTGTAAAAAATTACACTATCACACGGTATTAAATCATATTTACAGTACTGTGCATCTCAAGCAGACCCTCGTTTTGTGCATCTTGCAATCAATCTTCTGCAACATGGATCCAAGGAAACAGATATAACATTAGAGACAGGGGACACTCCATTTCATGCAGCTCTTAGAATTGCAGTGAGAACCTGTAAGTTCTACTAATTATTATAGGAGTTTGATTAACTTGTTACCTGCTCTGTAAGAGTATGTGATGAATATGAACCCTTTAAAGGAATTAGTTTTATCTGTTTAGTTAAAGTATGGATATCTGGTAATGTTTATGTACCATTAAAGGTTGTTTCTACCACTAAATTGTTTACTTAACATGGACATGATTTAAATGGATAGATTTTCAGTTAATTTACATGTATTGATTTATTTAGAACAAGTAAAAAAGTATTGGTGATATTTCTTATCAGTGGGGCAATTCTTCGAAATTTTTTTTACTAGTAAATAAATATCCAGATTGTTTTTCTAGCAAATACAGACCTTTTGTGGCATTTGGTAAATTCCAACCCAGGCAGGGTTAAGGCAGTACAAGATGCCCGTGGGGATACTCTCTTGCACAAAATGGCCAAAGCACTGGCAAGGGAACAATCAATTTTCTTTGGGGAAGTCACATTTGAACTCATGGAAAAAGTTAGTATCACTTTTATATGTTCTGAAATAATGCCAACTATTAAGACAGTTCTATTATTATCAAGACAGAGTCACAGAGAGTTAAGAAAGTATGAAGGACTAGACGTGAAGGAGTACATGGCTTTGTTCCTGTATTTTTTAATTGTTGATTTTAACCCATGAACATTTGCAGTGATTGTCCATTTTCTAAAAAGACTATATTTGTTTAAGGCAGTTAGGTGACCTTGTTAGTCTCATGGGCAAAAATTGTTACAGGTACCAAAGAAATTTAATGTGGAATGCAAATACTAAAACTAGATATGGCCGGTACAAGTACCGATGACCATTCCACAGAACCGGTGCTTGGTTCACAATAGAAAAATACATTTTTGAAAATAGTATTCAAAGAATTTGAAATAATAAAATCCATTTATTATTTAACAGTAATTTGAATTAACCTATGATAAAAAAAAACTGATTCAGAAGGAAATTTTAAACTGAGTGAAAAAAGTTCTTTTTCTATCATCTGACACATTCATTTCCAATGTGAACATAGAAATTACTTCTAAAAACTACTGTTTGATTGACTTTTTTTTTGAAATTCTAGATAGATTCCAGCATTAGAAATAAAGAGGGAAAGCTTGCCATAGACTACATACCAAAGGGGAGTGCATTGTATGGTGAGCTAGACAAGAGAATGAGACAGAGCACATCAAAAGGTAAGAGAACTGAAAATAAGAAATATATATGAAAGTTTGATGAAACTTGTAAACACTTCTATATAGATTTATATACAACTTCATGTTGAAAAGTGAAGTAGTACTTGTTTTTATATAGAAAGAAAAGGGGAACAATGGGGTAGACCTGCAACTGATACTAACAGAAAAACTGACCTAAAACCTTCACCACAACCCCCTCAACCCCACTTTGGTCAAACTGATTTTAAGGGTGCTAGGCCCAAGGACACACAGGCAGTACACAAGGTTGATGGAGGTGGAGATGGTGAGTGATTTAATGTTTTGATATTGATTAAGGCTGGGAAAGATAATAAACTGAAAAAAAAGCAAATGACAGGAGAGCTCAGAACAAATTTTTAAGAGATTGTAAGGAAAGACCAACAAATCTCTAATCTTTTAGACGGTTAGAAAAAATATACTTTTTTTATTATTGAACTCCATTAGGAATTTTTGCCATCATTTTTTTCAAGCCATGAAAAGTGAATGATATTTTTCCACAGGAAAAAAGAGTCAACAGTATGGTAAACCTGCATCTGGTGGCAAGAAAAAAGTGAAGCAAAAGCCAGGTGTACAACAATCATTTGGTCCTGAATCCCCCGGGGGACAACCTGACTCATATTCCAAGGGTGCCAGGCCTAAGGATATACATGTTGTACACAAAATTGATGAAGGTGGGGATGGTAAGTAATGTTTTAGTATATAAATGCATAAACCATATTTCATACTGTGTATGTTCTCTAGGGAAAAGTGGTTATGATGTATTATGTGCCTTGAAGTGAAGAGTATATATGTGTCAGACTGAAGAGTAGGCAAATTTAGAAAATCACTAACTGGCACTGAACCACATTCTTAAAAGAATTGGTTGCAGAAGAACATCATTATGTTTGAATTTTAAATTCCAAAACTGCCAGATTCCCTCAAGAACCTGTAACAGTGTGACACCAAGATGGCGTGTACATGTAGTTATCAAGCATTTTTAATTACGTAATGCAAATGGGAAATACATATAACAACATTATGATACAACAACTTTTATCTTGAATACAGAATATGGTACATATATATGATTGGTCTGTTTAAACTGATCTCCATGAAAAAAAAACTGTTTAGAAGCTGCCGACTGTATTCGTATTAAATTCTCCTTCTGTGTAGGAAATACTGAGCAGCCAGTAGACCTGTTCCAAAGGGGAAAAGAGTGCCTTGCCCAGTTGGAGTTTGAGAAAGCACTTGGATCACTCTGCAAGTTCTTGGAGGAAAACAGCAGTGCCTCAAAACTGAATGCTAAGGCATCAGAGGCACTAGATATTGTTGTAGACAAAATTGTTCCTACTTTTAAAGGTAAGTGGACCCAGGAGAGATTTTATGCATTTTGCAATATTTTGTTGGGATTAATTATTTTAAGTCAAATATATAGTAACTAAGATTAATGCAAATTATGAACAATAATCTGTAATTATTATAATTTTTCTTTTGCTCTCATCTGCTGTGATTGGTGTGGCCCATTATATTTTGATAGTGCAAGAAAACTAATTGTCTAAATTGGTGGTCGAATTCTATCGCATGTCAAATGGCTTTATTTATTTTTTTTAGAGATCCCCTCTAGAATCTCCTGCAAGTTACCTGAGAAGATATGGACACAGGTCATTAAAAAGCTGGCCAGGAGTGGAAGATGGCAAACAGTTCAGAAGTTGCTGCTTGGAGGGGGCAATGGTCATGAGAAAGGTCAAGGTGGTCTTGCAGACAACTGCAGCACTGCAGGAATCTCCATTGTGCATTTCCTCAGCAGCCATGATGAAAGAGATGTTAGTGTGCACAAATATGATCTGGTAACTGCTCTCCTCAAGGTAGGTGACATTAGACTGTATTCAGACACCACACACAAAATCCTTGTTAACTGTACATTATAGTAGGCAAGCATGCACTTTCCCATGCAAGCATGGAAGTGGCAGAGTTGAAGATAATAATATCATGAACGTTTTTCTATGGAGCCATGTCTGAAAGGTACTTTTTTTGCATCATTTTTGGATCATTGCTTGTGAGCACCAGTTATATTGGTACAGTAGCATTATCAACCAATGAAATATTTCAGAATTTGTCAGAAAATTACATGTGATCGTTGCTATCATTTATGGAACTAAATCAACATGCATGTTTGAGCATGGATTTGTTTTATCAACACCTGGTACATATATTCTGAAAGGTACATGAATCAGTCACCTTTTTAATTTTTTTAATTCTCTACATTTGTATGCTAATTTTTATGTACAACAGCCGTTTATTGCATGCAGTCTTACGTAACATTTTATGGAGGCAATTTTCAAGCCCGAATTTGCTTTATTTATAATTTGAACTTATGTAAAAGAAATTGAAACGCAACACCAATAGACCTCAACAAAACTATGCAAAAGGAAATGACCATATATGTAATACAAAAGTAATGTTTTAAACTGACATGGTGATTTTTAAGGCCCACCATTGTCCTTCATCTTTTTCTGAATCCCATGGCTATATCAGGAGGGTTTCAATTAGAGTCTGCATGTGTTTCAGTATTGCTGTATCACTCTGTTTGTATGATACAGCTGCCTGTGTACCCTTGGATTACATGTACCCCCATATCTCTGCATTTGATTATTGATGTTGAATGTTTGTTTAAAATTTTGATTTTGAGTAATAAAATTCTTTCTTTTTTGTGCTGTATCAGTATGTGTAGCATGTTGACATCATGTTGTTTGAGATTTTGCTTTTTATGGCCAGCCAAATGGCCTTCCAAACAGACAGATTTTATGAAAAATTACAGATGTTTCTTTTTTTATGTTTCAATTTTCATTATCCTTAAAGCATGGGTGTTCACCAGATGGTGTTGGTAGTGATAAAATAAAACCATTAAGCCATAGCCTTCAGAGTGAGGACATGAAAATGGTGATGCTGCTGCTCAGGGAAGGAGCAAACCCCGCCTCCCTCTCTCTCTCCAGCAATGACACACCCCTGCATGTAGCTCTCTCCATTGGAATGAAAGCTAAAGGTACAAGTTTATTTGTTTGTTCTAGTTGTCAGCAATTGTGCTTTACAGCCTTGTTGTTTGGTTTAGGTGTTTATATTTCATCTTTGGGTTAACATATTGTTTACTGACATGCAAGACAATGCTACCATATTACAGCTGCCTCAAAATAATTATTTATAGAATGTCTAGAGTTGTAACTAAAACCAATTTAAAACCCAGTTGAAATTGCATGGTTAAGCTTTTAATAGTTCTATTTTACAATGTTCACAAGCATGCCAGATTAGTTAAACGACATGCTTTGTTTCATTTCCCCAGCATGTTGACAACCTGTATATAAACATAAACTGGACCTTCGCCGTGGGAAAAGTACACATGGCAAAAAAAAAAGTACACATTATCATTTTAGGTGATTTCTCCTTGCTGGAACAGTTGTTTAAACTTTACTCAACATGTCCAGAGAAGTATCCAATGCTAGAGCCTTCCTCTGTAGATGGCACTGGAAACACCTTGTTCCATGTGATAGCAAAGGGCACCTGCTCTCCCCATGCTGTGAATGCTGCCAGGATTCTGCTTCAAAACAAGGTCAACCCACTGGTGAGAAACAGGGATGGTTTAACAGCAATGCAGATGTTGAAGAAGGGAAATGACCGAAGGATGCAGTATATGAAACAGGCAAAACAATTCTATCCAGATTTTTCTCCTCCCACACCAAGAAAAAAGAAAGGCAAGCAGAAGGAAAATGAGAAATCAGCTGTTCTCCCTGCTGATGATGAAGTTACTGCTAATGAAGCACTGGATACAGCTCAGAAAGATATAACATGCGGACAGGATACAGCTCAGACAGACATAACACCTCATTTGTTGAAGAAAGAGGGCACAACTAGCATTGTTCCAAAGATGAATAAAGAAGACACAAGGAAGAGAATATCTTCTCTCATTTCAGACTTGCCACAAATGGAACCCAAAAGATGTAAAGATGATTCTGCAAGTATGCTTTTGTCCAGTGCAGCCTCTGTTAAAGATGGACAAGCAAAAGTTGAACAAGGTGTTTACAATGAAAACTCTGGTGTAGGAAAAACAGCAGTAATTGAAGAAGATGAAATCCAAAATGACCTTGAGACTGATCTACAGGAAAATAAATTGGAAGAAGAACCTCAAGATGTTGACCCAAGCCTATTTGATGACTTGGTATGGGAGGTAGAATGCACAGCCAATCTGTGGAAACTACTGCGGGAGAAAAAGTTGGAAATCAAAATGAAAAGAAGAATCATAGAGAAAATCCAATTCCTTGGCAATGGCCACTGGAGACAAGATCTCTGCAAGAGACTGGAGGGGGCTGCCAAAAATGCTGGAATGAAGTTGTATGAGGCCAAGCTGACCAAAGGGGCTCGTATTCTCTGGGAACTGGCCATTGCTTTCTCTCCACGTTGCAGTGAGAGCGCTGAGCAGAGACTTGGCATGGAATCTATCAAAGAAGGGGTGGTTGGAGGGAGAATCTACTCTGAAGTCATCCGAGTGTGGGATGTTGTCTTTGATCACGATAATGTCTCCAGGAAAATTGACAGCATTGTAACATCTTTCAACAGAGGACAGGAATGTATTATTCAGAAGAAACTCAAAGGCATGGAACGCAAGGACTTCCCTTCACACAAGTTCACTGATCAGAGAATACCTATGTATTTCCACGAGGTGGACACAGAGGAGAAGGAGCCACCTAACCCTCTGCCACATATGCCTAAACCAGAATCTTCGACCAAATTCTTTCCACCAGCAAGTGCCAATGAGACAGAGTACCACATCATGAAATTCTATTCATTCACGTCGGCTCTGGTCAACAATGTTCTTCTCAACCAAGACACCAAAGTAGACTTTCCTTTCAGGGTAACAGAATTAGAGCATGCCATTATCAACTTGAACCCAAAACCACCACAATCAATCCTTCTACTAGGCAGGAGTGGGACAGGTTAGTCTTTTTGTTATTTTACTCATTCATTCAATTGTATTATGTATAACAAAAATATATGAATGCCTCTGGTTTTATGCATTTCATTTTTGAACAGTATTTAATTTCTAGGCTTTCTAATCTAGATGGTCATGTGACCTTTCTGTCAACACCCTATGTATTTTCACAAGAAGATATTCAGTTTTAAAGATAGATTGTATCACTTTCCTTTGGTTTAGGGAAAACCACCTGCTGCTTGTATCGCCTATGGACCTTCTTCTCACGTTACTGGGAGCAAGCCGCCAGGGCTGGAGAGCCCTTGATTCCCCGTAGTGTCACCTTTGTGCACCAGGACGTAAAGGCAGATAAGGCTAATAACAAAGGTATTTATGTGTCATATTATACCCTCCAAAAATATCAACGTAATGTTATCATACAAATACAGTAGTTTTGCTATTTAATGGGAGGATATTGTTTCTCTTGATATATATTTATTCAATAAAATCAGGTCATGTGCATGATGAATTATTTTAAGTAATTTTTTTTACATGCATTTTTGTTTTGATTTTTAAAATGTTTTTTATAGATACATCAGAAATGTCTGATTTTGGTGATGATGGTGATGATGATGATGATGATGATGATGATGTATCAGCTGATGAATCAGAAAAGTTGGATGTAGCCAGCAAAGGTGCCACATGTAACACAGAAGACTGCCAACAAGAACCTGGCAACACTCAGGAAGCCCCAATCATGGAACATCTGCATCAAGTGTTTGTTACTAAAAATGCCGTGCTTTGCAGTGAAGTGAAGAGAAATTTCAGGGAGTTGAGTCATGCATGGGAACCTGCCAATGCTCATGTTGAAGTGGAAGACCTTCCTTTGCCAAATTGTCTACAGGAAGCCCACCCTGCTCAGTTCCCACTGTTTATCACAGCCAAACAGTGGCTGATGCTTCTTGATGGATCCTTGCTGAATTCATTTTTTCCACGCAACCAAGATGGCAGCCTGAAGCGGCATATTCAGGGCTGGGGAGAAAAAGAAGCAAGTGTGACCTATATCCCTGATCTGGATGATTCTGATGGTGAGTTGGAGGATGATGAAGATGACACAGTTTTACCAGGTGACCCTGAAAATGAGGATGTCGCCAACCAACCACAGCCGAAGGAAACCGATCCAAGGCGAGAAGTAACATATGAGGTATTTGCCAATGAGCTTTGGACCAAAGTGAATAAGGGAAAGATTGACTACCACCCTACATTGGTCTGGATGGAAATTATGTCTTTCATTAAGGGTTCTGTAGAGGCCCTGCACACTGAGAAGGGTGAGCTTTCCAGAGAGGGATACCTAGAGCTTGGACAGAAGAGGGCACCCAACTTCTCCGGAGATCGGAACAAGGTGTATGACATGTTTGAGAGATACCGTCAGATCAAGTTGACCAAGGGGCTGTTTGATGAATGTGATGTGATCAGCCATATTTACCGCAGATTGAAAGATATTAAAGTCTTGCAGTGGAGCCTTCATCAAATCTATGTGGATGAAACCCAAGACTTTACCCAGGGTGAACTTTCCCTCTTCATACGGTGTTGTCAAGACCCCAATTCTTTATTTCTCACAGGAGACACAGCCCAGAGCATCATGAGAGGAGTTGCCTTCCGTTTTGATGATCTCAAGACTTTATTCCACTATGCAAGCAAGTCTTTCAAAGCTGTGGGCAAGACATCAGCAGTGGCTGTCCCCAAGAAGGTGTACCAGCTCACCCACAACTACCGATCTCATGCAGGTATCCTGGACCTGGCATCCAGTGTGATTGATCTCTTGGTGAAGTTCTTTCCAGAGTCTTTTGACAGACTGGAGAGAGATCAGGGCTTATTCCTTGGACCCAAACCAGTTCTTTTGCAGTCCTGTAGTTTCAGTGACCTTGCATTACTGCTGAGAGGAAACAAAAGGAAGACGTCTGAGATTGAGTTTGGCGCCCACCAGGTTATCTTGGTTGCCAATGAGGAGGCAAAGAGCAACTTGCCAGAGGAACTTAGTTTGGCCCTGGTGCTGACCATCTATGAATCCAAAGGCCTGGAGTTTGATGATGTCCTGCTATACAATTTCTTCAAGGATTCCCCAGTAAGTTTGTTTTGCTGTGGATTTTTTTGTGGGGGATGGGGTTTATATTAATTGAAACATGATACTGCTGCCATAGTAATTCATCAGTTTAGCAAAAGCTGAATAGTAATTTACTTTTAATTTTCTTTTAAATTTTTTGATATTCAAGAAATAAATGTCAGCATTTACAATTAAGTGTCAATGTTCTTGCAGGCTTACAAAGAGTGGAGAGTTGTGACAGGTCACCTGGACAAGCTGCTGGAGCAGTACAAGTACAACCAAGAGAAAGGACAAGATAATCTTGTGGAACTGGATATTGGTAAGTGATGGTTCATGCCTTTGAGGTACCATTAAAAACATACTAACTTAAAGTGAATTTTTGAAAAAAATTATTTGGGGTGTCATGATGGAAACTGTCATTGAAAAAACTTTTGTCAGTGATAAACTTATTTAAACTGTTATCTTTTAAATAATTTTTTCCAGATGAAGAGTATGACAATGTCCGTCCTAGACCATTAGACTTTAGCCCAGAGAAACACAAAGTATTGAACTCTGAGCTCAAGTATTTGTACACAGCTTTGACCCGGGCCAGGGTCAATGTCTGGATATTTGATCAGGACGAGGAAAAGAGGGCACCTATGTTTGAATATTTTGTTCGAAGAAAGTTGATGGATGTTGTGGAGACAAGATCTGACAGCAGCGATGACGGTAAGAAATGGAGTGACTGTGAGCTGATGCTTTGATGATGCCTTGTATTTATGAAACCTCCCAAGTATCACATTTGGTATTATTCCTCCTTCATAAGAACTACCCACTCACAATGTCCACTTCAAATGCATGCACATACTTGGAGCATGCATACTCGCATGCCCACACACACACATATAACACACACGCACACACACAGGGAAATAATGGTGTGGGGAGGGGGAGCAGGATAGTATTTTTAAATGAGCCATCCTTTGTGTTTGCCAGAAAGGGTAACCAGATTATGTTCAGTTATATTTTTCTAGTCTGGAAACCAATTTTATTGTCTGTTTAGTCATATAATTGCATGATCATGGCGAAACTCTCCATCTAAATATTTTAATAAATTAAAATTAAATAAATTAAAATTTGTCTTGGATTTGAGTATTAGTTAATTTTTGAAAAAAATCAAATAGATTAAGTTTGATATGACTTTATTTCCAATTACTTACCAATATTGTACATGTAAATCTTTATTTCTAACAGGTCTGTCATCTGCAATGTTTGCATGTACTTCTACAGAAGAGGAGTGGGTGAAGAGAGGTGATTATTTCTATAATCACAAGTTGTACCAAGTAGCTGCTAAGTGTTACAGAAGAGGTAGGTGATATTATATTTGATGTGAAAACACAAATTAAGATACCTTGTGAAATGTTCTCGTTTTGGGATGTTGCTTATACTAGTAATCTTGACCCAATGAACATACGCATGTTCAGACTACAGATTCAGTTTATTATCTTTTTATCAGACCTGCTGATCCAAACTATGTTGTACATGTATTCATTTTTATGCACTCAGCTTCAATTAACGGTAATTAATCAATTTATAGTTTTATGATGAAAATGACGTAAATCTTACCTGAGAATATTAACATAATAGGTGGTGAGGAAGTCCTGGAAAGAATGTCCTTGGCTCAAGCAAGAGCTCTGAGTGCCGAGAGACTGAGAGAAAACCCCCACAAATTGAAACAGGAGTTCCTCCTGGCCTCTGAGGAGTTCTTGCAGTGTAGTATGCCATCTGAGGCAGCCAAGTGTCTGTACAATGCAAAGGAGTTCCTGTTGGCAGCCAAACTGTTTGAGAAGATGGCAAAGGTGTGCATCAGTTTTGCAAAACAAATGAGCTACATGTATGAAGATGCTATGCAAAACTCTTTAAGTAGCATACTATTGCCTTTTAATGATCTGTGGATTGCTTCATTTCTAAAGGCATGCTCTTTAATGCTTTGGCAAATCAGTACATTAATTATAAATACTTTTTATGCATTACATTGAAAGACACTTTATTGCTTTTTAAATTTTAGCTTTAAATTTGTGATTCTGTTGAATTGATTTTTACATGACTCTGTCCAATTATTTTCTAGTTCAGGGATGCAGCTGTCCTTTACAAAAAAGTCAAGTATTACCAGGATGCTGCCAATTGCTATGAGCAATCCTCTGACTTCAGGAAAGCCATTGAGATACATGTGTCAGTGGATCAGTTCCAGAAAGCAGCAGATGTCCGTGAAAGATACGACATTAAAGTGCAGGTGAGGAGATGACACAGTATGGGGTTTTATGATAGGCCATTGACATGGAACTCCTAACAAGAGCATGCATACATGTAAGAACAATTCTACTTATGTGTGTTATTGCATTTTTGCATGCATACATGGGTGTGGTTATAAATATACAGTGAGAGAGATGGAGAGATTTAAGAGTTTTTTTTTTTATTTATTGCTGTAGGAATACATGTCTCATGGAAAGATGCTGCCACAGGCTTTAATAAATGGAGCCCCAAGTCCTCTCCATAGCATGGACTATCTTTGCTTTGAAGCTGCAAAATTGCATTTTCATCGCAGAGAGTATGATGCCATGAATGCAGCCCTATCACGCCTTCCCTTTGAACGACAACTTCAGTTTCTCAAAGAAAGAAACAACATAGCTGGTGTTGCTGCTTTGTATAAAAGGAATGGTGAGTATTTAAATAGGGTTAGAAATTATATTCACAAGTAAGCTGCGTTTCTAGTAGGTTACAGGGTCAGAATTTACTTGCCATGCTTACCAGAAAAGTCAAAAATGGTACCACATTACTACTGGATATTAGGTAGACTTGGGTAGGCTTGATAATTGTGAAAAAGCTTTATGTTTTACATATAATTCTGAATTGATGAAAAATTTTTAGGTCAGTCCATGGAAGCTGCAAAGTTTCTGAAGTCAAAGGGCAAAGTTGAGGAGGCACTGGAGTATGCCGAGCGCTTGGATGATCCATATTTCAGAGCAGAGTGTCTCATTATAAGCAGCAGGATGAAACTCCAGAATATGTCCAGTCCTACAATGGAGGAAGGTATCCTAAAGAATTTAGAAGAAGCTGAAAAGCTCTTCTCTGCTTGTGAAGATAGCAATGGGCAGGCAGAAGCTCAGATGTATCTTGCCAAGTTGAGAAAAGATATCAAGCTCCTTAAAAGCTCTTCTGATCTTTTCAAGAAAAATCACAATATTGGTGGACAAGTGGAGGTGGTTGAAGTGCTAATGGAGATAGTTACAGAGCTGTTACCCAAGCATGTTTTGCCAGTACGGGATGCTGTAGAAAGTATTGCCAACTTCCTCCTCATTGTACAGAAAAGTCCAGTAAAACACACTCAAACTGAAAGGGCCATGCTTGACATCTGTGAGCTGTACTATGGCATAGAAAAGGGGGATAGGGAACAAGTTAGGAAAGTAAAGACCAGTGAAGCTGCCAGGATTGATCTCCTGCTTACTGAAGATTTGGATAAAGATCAAGTGCCAAAGAATTTGGTCCATGAGAAAATGTGCCAGGATCTTCTTAGGAAAGTTGGCAATGGTGTAAACAAGTGTCGTGCAATGATGTGGAGCCACATGAAAAAGCAAGAGATTTGCCCTGACTTCATTGCTGGGCAGCCCTGTCAAGAACTTGGATCATGTTCTAAACTGAGGCAAGAACCTAAGAGGAATCATCTGCTGCACCACTTGGATAGCATCCTCAGACTCATTCATTTAGATTCTACTGTAGAATGGGCATGTGAGCAGCCTCACAAGGACACCATCAAAAGGCAGCTTGAAGACCTGAGGCCCAAAAAAGAGCTTGGTGGAAGGTTTGGCTCTTGCCTGGCTTTGTACAAATTGCTCTTTCCTGCTCAGGGTCACCACAGGAATCTCTGCTCTCTTCCTGTTGAAGCTAGGGAAGTGATGAATAGGATTAGAAGCTTGGCTGTAGAAGATCAGTTAAAGAGATGGGCAAAGTATGAGTGGACAAAGTGTCCTCAAGATCAGTTGTCCAACACAGATTTGTTCCTGTTGATCTTCAACGTACAGCGCCTGCTTAAGGTCAAAATTGAAGTCTTGAAAGGAATGCTTACAAAGACTGCTGATGGCTACTCAGCAGAAGCTAGTAAGAAGGTTGCCCCACATAAAGTGCCAAAGGACATTGGTATGGTCTATGTAGGAGAAAGGGGGAACAGACACATGTTCATCAGTTTGATGAGCAGGTTTATCGATTTCTCCAAAGAGCTCCATAGCAAACTGGACCCCATAACTGCCACGAGAGCACTGGTGCTGAACTTCATCAGGAAACTTGCAGACCGTGCAACAGAGCCACTGATGCCTTCTATTGCCAATACGGTAGGTTTGATGATGTATCAATTTTGTTCATGTTTTCTCTGTCATCATCATCATCATCATTTAGAGCCTATAGTGTTCCACTGTTGGACAAAGGCCTCAGCATGTTTTTTTCCATTGTTTCCTATCCTGAACCTCAGATTTCCAGTTTGGCCAAGGTTTCTTCTTCCAAGACTTCCAGTAGTCATCTAATTCATCCCTCCATCGTTTGACCGGCCTTCCTCTTTTTCTTTGTCCATACCTTGGGGTCCATTCTGTAAGCCTGATTGTCCACCTATTGTCCTTCATTCTTTTGACATGCCCTGCCCACCTCCATTTCATTTCTTTAACTGTGAGCAGTACGTCCTTAACTTTGGTCTGTTCACATAACCATACATTCGTTTTCCGCTCTCTTGGATTGATGTTCAACATAATTCTTTCCATCTTTCTCTGAGCTACTTGAAGCTTGTGTTCCATGGAGGCATTCAGTGCCCAGGTCTCTGAACCATAGGTGATTGCCGGCAGCACACAAGCATTGAACACTTTCTTTTTCAGGCAGGTAGGAAGGTTGCTCTTGAAGATGTCATTGTGTTTCCCATATGCTGCCCATCCTGCTTTTATCCTTCGTTGGATTTCTTTCTCCAGTGTTCGATCACTAAGGCTGAACCGTTGCCCAAGGTATATATACTCTTCTACTGCTTCTATCTCTTTGGTGTTGACCTTCACTGTGCAAGGGGTGGTTAGTGGTCCAAACATCACCTTTGTCTTGCTGGTGTTCATCTCTAGCCCACTTTCTGCGCTTTCATCTGCTAATGCCTGTAGCATTTCTTCGAGGTCTTTTGCATCATCTGCTACTATTATGATGTCGTCTACAAACCTAAGGTGATTGAGCCTGGTACCGTCTATGTTTATGCCCTTGTCCTGCCAGTCTAGATCCCTGAATATACGTTCCAATGCTGCTGTGAACAGTTTAGGAGAGATTGTATCTCCTTGGCGTACACCTTTCTTGATCCTGATCTTATTGGTGGTCTTGTGTAGTTTGACTGTTACAGAGCTATCGGTGTATATGTCTCTGAGGACGTCTACGTATCCATCTTCGATCCCTAGATCTTGCAGATCTGCATACTGCATACTAGATCTTATATTAATTATATCTAATGATGTTGAAATGGTGGTCGTTATTCTAGCCAGTTATAAGATTAATATAAGATCTAGTATCTAGTACGTTTTCTCTGTATGCAGAGGTAATGATTTAGTTTAGCCAGTTATAAGATTAATATGTTTTGTATATTTCTGAATTACCTACACAATAAACCTGTGACTTAACCATGACTTTAAATAATATTATATGAATTATGATAATCTTATTTGGTCATACCTTTTCCGTTAAAGATCCTAAATGGATTTGTAACTTTGTAATTCAAATGTACCTCAAAATATTCTGTAAATTTTTCACTTATAAATTGATATTTATATTTGCTAGGTTTGGATGATGGAGCTGGCCACTACCTTATTCCTCAGCATGGTAGCTAAAACTACCCCTGGCGTTGTCCTGTGCTTGCCGTCAGGGTACCTAGCTCAGCTGTCTCTCTATGACTTCATCAGGGATGGAGAGTATGCCATGTGGATGAGCCTGACACACTGCACATGGCCTAGGGAGTGGTACCCCGTCGTTGCTAGGATGATGGTTACCATGGTGAAGATACTCTGTGGTAATCACAACCCAAAGTTCAATGTGATTAAAGATGCTTTCTCATCTGTTGCATACATCAGGAGTGGGGAGACAGAACGGACCCTAGTTTTGATGCTTACTCTCTTGTGCAACACCAACCAAGCCTTGCCTCCTGATTGTGAAGTCCTGATCCGCAGATCCTTGAACTCCATCAGACTTGACAGAGAAGTTTTGCCACAGAGGCTCTACATGAGGGTTAAGGCAGCAAAAGAGGCAAGTGGGCTCCAAGGTATTGTAGAAGTACTGCAAGAAGCGCTGCGTCACAGGGACCAGTGCCTCTATCAATGTGAGTGGGGTGTGATTGGTAAAAAGTCCAACACTGCAAAGGGATTGGTCAATCATCCAGTTAGACCTGCATCTTTCTTCCCTACATATAACATGCCTCTCACAGATGTTCAAGCCACAGGAATCAGCTACTCAGATACAGGAAAGGAAGTAGAAAGCTATGGGGAAGAGATGGAGGAATTCGATGAGCAAGAGATCCTAGATGCAGAAAAGTCAGCCAAAAGACTTGAGATGGAAAAGAAGCTTGTTGTTTGTCTTTTGGTAATTCGAGCGTGCAGGAAGTTCAATCAACTGAGACAAGTACCAAGTCAGGCAGCATCTGCATCGACCAAGGACAATCGCCTTCCAAATCTCATACAACACATCACTATTGATAACACCATGTGCGGATATTGTGGAGTTTACTTCTCAAGTGCCCCTACAACTCAAGATTGGGAAGAAGAAAAAGAAGAAAACCAAGCATCACAGCAGATGAGATCAGTTTCTCCCATCCCAACTGATGATACTGCAAGTTCACCCTTGCCCAGTGTTTCACCCCAACCATATCTGTATCAGAGTCAGTTATCATGGGAACCTACTAAAAGTACAGACACCCAGTTTGCCTCACTGGATGAGGCAGGGCACCTGTCAAGTAGTGCACAGCCCACCCACACCTTCAGTCCAATAGAAGAGCAAGCCAGGCAGAGAAACATTCATGAGAAAACCAGGGACCATTTTGAGAAAATGCAGTATTTTGGAATATTCCGCACAGTATATGTGAGACAAGTATTACCTCTATTGCAGAAATGTGAGGATTTTGAGCAACAGTTGCCCTGCGAAGATGAACAAAATGCAGATGCTCTTCGTTTCAAGCTTCATGGAATTGCAAATGCAATCATGCATCTGAAAGATACTGTGAATAATGTGATTCAACAAAAGACATGGGGAAGTACTCGAGAAGTTATTCACCAAGCAGAAGAGGTAGCAAAACAGTTGAGAGCAGGAATGCCCATTTTTAAAGAGTGGCAGAGGGAGGCAGAGGCTGAGAAACACAGAATAGTAAGGGTTCCACATTATCAATTTAATAAAGCCCTTTCATTTCTGAAGATAATTTAAAATTGAAATTAATTATGATACATATAAGACTCACTGGAAAAAATGTTTGGCTTAAACTCAGATACACTGTAATGGACATGACTGTTTTAGATTTGTAATTATGGTATTATTTACAAAAAAAATTTAAACATCATTTACACTTTTATTTTTTAGGCTGTAGCTCAGGAGAAAGCAGCTGAAGCTATGGATGAAGAGATAGTCATTGCACATGATGAAGATGAGAATCAGGTAGGCCATCTCCTGACAGTGGCGGAAGGCCCAGATGGTCAGAGACAGATGAAGAAAAATAAGAGGAAAATGAAAGGGAAACGCAGCAGGCAGAATTAGTTTTAATTAAGTTATTTTATGTTTACTACATGTATATACACATTGTATTATGTTATGCTGATTTAGACCATGTTCCAAAGAAAAATCTTTTAAGATTCTGTTTAGAAATGTGAAAAAATTCACAAAAGTTCACATTTTTCAGTTTTGAGGATGAACAGTCACATGTATATTATTATAATATTTTATTCATATTTTGATGAACAGAGTTAAATTGAAAATAAAGTAAACCTTGGATCCAAATATTTTACCAAATTACTGAAAATTTTCCATAAAAAGTATTTTATATTATTTGCAGCTGCTTTTATTTAATACGTGAACAATATAGTTCATCTAAATTTGATTACTTAAAACATCTGATGTAAACACTAAAGTGGCAATCTTGGTTACTTTTATCAACAATAATTTCAAAAATATCTTTCTTCATTGGATAATTAGTATTTTGCCAGATCTTATGATTTTGCGTAAATCTTTGTCAAATTTTAAGCAGTCAGTTTGTAGCATATTGTTTTGATAGCTTAGAAGTTTCAGTGAAATGATAATGTTTATGATTTAATTTCTTGTATTGTTGTTGTGTTGGTAAGAAAAGTTAGTTTAAAAATAAAGTTCAGTTTTACCTTCTGTGCTTTATGTGAAATTATGTCTTATTCGTGGTTGCTTAAATTAAAAAAAGCAAAACAATGTCTACATACTACATGTAGTACTTCATTCAGTATCATTTCAGATTTTTAAATAAATGTTACAAAATTCCATGGTGTATTGAAAGAATGGAAAAGAACACGCCAAGTACAAATCTGCTGTGTAATGAAAATTGATTGCTAAAGAATCAAGAAGAAAAGAAAAAAGAAAATCAATTGCTCCTCTTCGCATTCCAGTGGCAGATGAAATCACACAGTCAAAATACACCTTTTTACTTATTTTACAAAAAAAAAAAAAAAAAAAAAAAAAAAAAAAAAAAATCAAGTTGGAGTTAAACAACTTTTGTAAGTTAAACTTCAAAATAATGAATGGGGTATGAAAAATGAATTACCACATTAATTTCCAGCTTACATTTTATACTGAAAATAAAATGGCAAATCAGTAAAATATCAACATTTATACTTCATGTGACCTCCATCCTGAGTAATAAGAAATTCTTTTAAAACACAGATGACAAACACAATATTGTTAATTAATATTTGGTCAATTAAGGCCATTTTTATTTTTTTCTACCCAAATAATCTCCACATTAACTGATCAGGTAATCAAAATGATTGATAATAGTACCAGGTGAGATTATAATTAAGGTAATCAGTTATGCATGACTGACTCCCACTTTTTAACAGCTCAGACTTACCCACAAGAGTGATATGAAATATTATGTAAATCTCATATTATAAAAGTCACTGACTAATAAATTCTTGCAACAACCCAAATAATGAGTTATCTGGAAAAATTGATTATTCAGTGAATCTCCTTCCAATTGTGCTAGCACCACTTTGTGCTTGTTAGGTGATTTGCAGTGTTGTGCAGCAAGACAATATTTGAATGCATAAGATATCAACCTAAACCTGTTCTAATTAGTTCCTGATACAGTACAGTCTAGAATCTGTTTTACCTGACATTCAGGTGATGCACACCATAAAATGATCCATAAGTGGATGCTATGTTCTACATTAAAAGAGTGATAGGTTTTCACCACATATATAAATATATATCCCTGCAGTAAAACATAACTGTGCAATTTACAACTTGATATATTATATTCCGAATGCTCTGAAACAACAAATTATAAATACATTTAAATTACAATTTTCAATATTAATTTGTGGCATAATTTTCCCATGAAGGCATATAAATTCTTACATCTATAAAGCTCTAAATATATACATTTTTTTCAATTGAATAAATTTGCCTGCTTACTTTTTAATACTATAATGCTGCAAGAATATGCTATGCCTGATAAAAGAAAAAAAAACTTGCAGAAGTTATTCACAATGGTTGAAGTTGAAGCACTAAATTTTCATTTCTTATCAGCAAATTCCCATTGAATCGAGGTGTGAATAACCAATTTTAACTTCAAATATTAAGACACTTCATATCATTCCCATCTGAATACATACAGAACTTACTACCAATTCAATTTCACCACATCTAAAAATGCCCCCCTCCCTTTCTAATCCCTCCCAATATTATGTGTCTCTGTGGGTCTGTCAATCCTGTACATGAACTCGGCCACATTTAGGTAAGCCCTGTACTCTATTATATCAGGGGTGGTGTCTGTATGGTAATGGCCTCCCTCTCCATGCTCACTGAACAGGTGGAAGTGCTCAACACGAAGATCAAGGTCCTGTAAGAAACAGGTGCTCTTTAAATTATAACTGTACAGTCCTGTGTGCTGCTCTCTGGTGGTTCTTTTGAACCCCCCGAACCCCCCCCCCTTGGTCACTTAACTTGCCCATTATGCTGTTAACAATTCAAGGACACCATAAAGAATTAATAGGCCCAGCCAGGGCGTAATAAACATGGGGTCTGGGCTTTTTATGCATGGGACTAGATTTGATCCGGGCCTTTGACATATGTCTATACAACATTGGAATGCAGCCATTTATTCTAATCAGTTTTAATTGTGCTACAGAGATATGGAATTTTATTTGGAACACTTTTGAAAAAGCAACTAGCATTAGTAATTTGTGCACAGATTGCCACTGTATGAATAATTTAAGCAGTACATGCTCTTTGTAGTCTAAGATCTAATAAACGCAGGCCCGTAGCCAGCAATTTCAAAAGGGGGGTTCTTTTTCTGAAAAAGTGGACCTTTTTCTATAAAAACTTCATGCACCTAGATCAAATTTTACCCAGAGTGGACCTTTTCCCAGCAAAAAGGGAGGTTCTTTCGAACCCCTCGAACCCCCCCTGGCTACGTGCCTGAAACGGATATTAGATCTTAGTTGTAGTGAAACGACATACGTCTTCGTACTTAAAAAATATGGCCTAAGATAAAATATGGCCTGACATGGTACGATTGCAAGCTGTGGCCTGACATGGCACGATATCGCTCCAGCCGGCGGTCTCTCCAGACAGCCACGAGGGGATTCCCCTCTTAACACTCGACTTATTGAACCAATCTGTAACGCACTTCCTTCCTATGATTCGGAGAACTAAACGGAAGCGAAAGCATAATGTTCTTTTTACTGCTGTCATCATTCGTTCCGTGAGAGGCGGTAGTATTCAACACTGATTGATGGTTGTTTAAATGGCGGGTAATATAATTTTTCTCAGTTTTATTGCAGTACGTGGCTTGTGAATTTAGGTTGTGAATTTTCAGTAAATCGAACTTTCGTTTTCGTGATAGAATTATTGTACGCTAAAAACAACCACAGCGACGGTTGAATGTTTGTAAAAAATACATCATTAATGCGTTTAAAAAGAATAGCACACCTGTACATACAGGATCCACGCGTTTTTTCTTTTATGTTTGATTATTTTTGAATTATGCTACTGAGACTTGATTGACATTTGGTACAATGTAGATAAGACAGAAATATGTGACACACCTGAGAATGGATATACCGTCTGAAATTTGAGTTTAACTATAATTTACTGTAGACAATTTTTTTTCTTCTTTTGATAAAAAATATCTGGCATTTTTACGGCTCCCATTAAAAAAGGGGCCCGCCCAAAGTCCCCGGCTTGATTTTGAACAGGTATGTATTTTCACAGGCATTTGAAGATTGTTGGCTCTAACATTTCATCAACAGTCTGCAACATTGAAGTCTTTGGTCCTACATGTATGCCTGCAGCCAGTAAAATTTTGTTAGGACCAGTAGATTTTGACCCCCCCCCCCCCCCAAAAAAAAAAAAAAAAAAAAAAAAAAAAAAAAAAAAAACTCGCACACACACACAAGTAAAAAACACAGCCTGGAATCTCTCAAATTTTACACAAATGTTTGCAAAATTCCGCTTTTGTGTCAATTTCATGGAAAAGAAATGTTTTCTGAAGACCCAGAATGTGTGAATTTAGTGGTCTGACATGGCCATTAGATTTTCTTTATAAGGTTTCAAAAGAGCTTTGGATTTGATTTTTAATTTTCTGAGAGGTAACTGTTACATGATGATTCTAAATAAAAAAGATAAAAAAATCAAGGGCTTGTTATATCAAGTATTAATGTAAGTAAAATGTCCAGTCTTACTAAAATTATTGAAAGACTAGTGAAATCTGATTTTGAACTGTAGATTTTAGGAAACTTTTGGTCTGAATACAAAAGTTTGTCAGAGACTGTATCAAGCAGAGTGATTTGCATGTGAAGTAGGCATATTGACAGTTTTCTTGAAATGAAAAAATACCTTTTCAGTTTTTTTTATTAATCAATCTTATTAGTACTTAATTTTAAGTCTGTAAGACAATTGTAGCAAGTGATGGGTTTTATTACAGAGTAAATATGATGGATTTATTCCCAACAATTGCAAAGTTTATTTCAAGTTGAGAAGTTTGAGAGTAATAATTAACCTGAGTAGCTGCTATTGAAATCATTTACCACAAATGGATTGAATTGCAAAACAAAGAGATAGTATTATTTTGGTGGTGAATAACTTCAATATATTTACCCTACTCGTACTTATTAATAAGTGAATTATAAAGATTTATCATTTGATGTTACCCTAAAAATGCCATAAATACATATATATATATATCTGATGTTTATAGGCAAAGTGTCTGAATTTTGGTCAGGGAATATGAGAAAATATATCTTTACTTGTAATATTTTATCAATATGTCTTAAAATCTGATGCTTCCTATGAGCAAAGAAAGTTTTTTATCATGGTTAAATAATTACCATTTTTAAAAACCTTGAAACATTGTTCGCCATGGTTTGCATATCACCCTGACTTCATGAACAACTATATTTACGCATGTAAGCATATAAAGTTTAACTAGTAAATAATAAGTACCTGATATCATATCTTTATCAATATATGACATACTTATAATGGAGAATTGCTTAAACTTTGATCACTGTTTATTAACAGGTAAATATATGTAGATTTTTGCAGCTGTTGTACAATCCTTTTAGATTGCTGCATTTTTAGCTGTATTTTCCACTGTTTAGAATGCAAATATAAGATTACAATTTTTATTAGGATCTTCTGACTTGTGAGCAGTAAGAAAAACTATGT